GGCTTAAAAGAAAAAAGGAAGATGAAGATTATTTTAAAGGATATTCATGTACAAAAGTTTAGACTATTTGTGCAAAATTTTCGAAGAAAATGTAAAGTAATAGTGCTTTTAGGGTTTGAACTTAGATTTTAGGGTTACAAAACAAAACCTTTACCACAAGCTAGAAAAACTTGATGTACATGAACCAAAAGAATTTAATCTCTAAATATATGTTTTATATGTACATTAAAAAAAATTTCGAAGTGATTGCCCCTCTCCTCCCATAGATTTTAGGCCTCTCCTCCCTGCGCCTCCGCCCCTGCGACTAAGAGAGGAATAAGGCCAAAATTTGAACCTATTGTTTTTGCAAATAATTTTGGAAGTGATTTTGGTTTTTTCATTTGTATAAGCCCCTGTTTGACAACCATTATTTGAAATTTTTTTTTTCACGTACTCATTTTCAACCACACATTCACATAATAAAGTATTCTGCATGTAACCCAAAACTGTTCTTTACTTTTTAACCACACATTCTCTTAAAAATCGTTATACAAAACGTTATTTTTCACAAATAACGATTGTCAAATATGGACAAATTTTTTAATCCTCCAAATTTATTTGTAAATGTTATTGATTAAGTGTTTGAGTCACATTATTTTGGAAAAATGTATTTTGATATAGTAGATTAATGGAGAATGTGTGGTTGAAAAAGAAGGAAAAATTATTGATGCGATGTAAAATATTATTTATTGAAGAATATATGATTGAAAATGAGTAGAATAATAAAAATGAAAATTTTAATGTGGCTCAAACATAGACTAAGTGAAAACTGAAGTAGTAATTTACGAGAAATACCATTCCTCACCAGCATCTTTTAATAATTTAATGCATGTTTATATAAGCTTCAAAATTAATTTACAAGAAATGAGTACATTATTTAAAAATAAATAAATAAACTTTTGAACTGGCCAGAGTTTGTTAAACAAATAAAATAAAATCCAAACTGCTTACGTTGACTCCAATAGCCTTAGAAAAAGACAGACCAAAACGGCAAAACCTAGGATAAAATTGTCAATCATGTTACTATTACATATACATTTTATAGAAAAGTTTCAACGCTTGACAAAAACTCATTGAAATATGTGAAAAAAAAAAGGGCAAATAGGGTACACGGATTTTGTCTACCAAAGCCCGCGAGACTTAATTCTAAAATGAGTAATATTATTCATCCACACCTAAATTTCAGTGAAAATAATATCCTTACGCTTCTAATTGTTGCCCAATCATTTTTTGTTTATAACAGACAATACAGTGGTCATATCAGAGTTGTCGCAGTGGGCTACTTAGTTTAGTACAAATATTGACTGTCTTAAAACAATACCACCTGACCAGACCAGCCTTCATTGTTTGAATTGAACAGATTCTAATAGTTAATAGATAAAATTTCAATTTTTGCTTCTTATTATTGTTAAGTATTTTATTGTATTTGTTTGAACCCTATTTTTTTAAAAAATTCATTTTCAACAATATATTTTTAAATAAAATTATATTACACGTAAATCGAAATTTTTTTCTTAACTTTTAACCACACATTCTTCAAAAATTCCTATTCAAAAATGCATTTTTCTATCAAAATGGGACTCAAACAAATGCTAAATCAGGTGTTTACATTGGCTAATTAAATAGCCTATGTTCAACAAAACAATGTAACAAAATTAATTCTCTTAGGGGTAAAATCCATTAATTCCACTTTTAAAAGAAAGAAATAAATCAAGACAAATCGCTTACCTAGATCAATGGAATAGTCGATACTTAAAATCCATTAATTTT